GAAACATCTCTACCTACTAAAAGCTTTGTATCTTCCACTGTGTGTGTGTATGTGTGTGTGTACATATATATATATATGTAAACTGAGGGACTTCTTGTTCAGCCACTTCCAGCAGGGAGGTTTCAGTAGTGGTAGGCTATGAACTGCAAATTAGGAATAATTAGGTTCTTATATTACAATTATGGGAACATTTAACAGTGTCTAAGTGCTTTGAATTGTGAACTACATAGCAACTGAAGAATCACCCATCACTTACCAAAGACCAAGCAAACAGAGTCCTGATTTAATGTTTTACTAGAAATTTCAGAAAGATTATGCATCTGAAAGCAAATTAAGAATTCAGGTCTTTTAAGATGTCATTTTATTTTTATAAGGCATCTTAGGTGTACTTTGTTACATGCAGAGCTAACATCTATAGGTGTGTCCCAGTTTGTTTTTTGAGTCCTCAGTACTGTATCTGATTGTGTTAGGGAAAGACTTCCGGAACAGATTTATGTTGATAAATATTAGTTTGTAGAAGGTAAATTAGTTCCAGTTCAAGATTAAATGGACTTAGTTCAAAGGCAAATAAAGATTGTGATACAAGCTATACAAATATATACTATCCCACAGGGCAATTGCTGTTCCGTGTGTATGGTGTAGAAGTGCTTTACAGACTTGCCATCTAAAATAGGACTGAAGTACTCTATGGGTATTCTATCAGCAAAAGATGCAGGCAGAAGATTGCTTTAAAAAAAAAAAAAAAAATTATATATATATATATAAGAATGATGTAATATATAAAGAATTACCTAGGAAGCAAACGTGTTACTTTTATGAGACTCAGTGGTCTGTTAGTAAACTATGAGTGTGATAGTGAATATATATTTAAATAAATGTATTCAGTTTAAGATTCGTCAAGCAAAATCCCAACAATAATGAGAAGGTGAGGGAGTAAACGGATTTTTTTCAGGAATTCTTTCCTGCAAAGATGGAAATGATAAAGTGCTTGAACTAGAAAAAAGCGTTTCTATGTGAAGACTCTGAAAGTAATGCTCTGAAAGTAATGATTCCTATTTTATTCTGTTGGCACACGATGTCAGATGTGGATGTTGGTGGTATGGTAGTAGAGCTTGAAGCTTCCCATTAGTATTCCATTACAGTTTGTTGCCATGTGACAGATGGCAGCAGAGGGGCAGCCTGACAGAATGGCATCTGACATGGAATGCGTATGAAGCAAAGGTGTGTCATTGAATTCCTCCACGCAGAAAACATGGCACCCATTGACATTCACTGAATTTGCTGAATGTTTATGGGAACCTAACAGTGGATGTGAGCACGGTGAGGCAGTGGGTGGTGCATTTCAGCAGTGGTGACAGTAACAGTGGGTTACCTCTGGTGCAGATTTGTACAAGCATGGCATCCAGGCTCTCATTTGCTGGCAAAGATGCATAGCTAGTGGTGGTAACTATGCTGAGAAATAGCATTTTGTAGCTGAGAATTTGCTCAAATAGTGTTATTGTGCTCTCTGCATCTGTTATGGTTTCCATAGAAACAAATAGGAGGCATTACTTTCAGAGCAGCCTATATACATCCAGTGACATCATTTTCCTTGTTATTGCTGTTATATGAAGATGAAAACAATTATTCACATTGTTATCCATCTAGAAAAATATTTACAGGTGTCTATTTTTAAATATTTTCAGTGCTATTTTTGTATCCTTAGTGTAAAGATTGAATAATTGCTGTAATTTTATGATAACAATTGCTACTTGATTGTAAGACAATATAGAGCACTTTATATCTTAAAAAATCACTTGCCTATTCTTCAGATTTGTAAAATGAAGACTCTTTTCTGAGTCAAGCCATAACCAATGCACACAGGTGAACAGTCTCACTAATTATAAAGCTTATGTAAGAACAGATGTGCCATATTTATCTTGATTTAAGATTAGAAGAACCCAGGTGAGCTTTCTCACTGTTCCCATGCTTTAACAATGCAAAGTAAGTGGCCTGGGATCTAATTTTCCCTCCTTATTGAATTGTGGTCATGACAACCGTCTGTACAAGGGTAAACTTTACAGTATTGTCTTGTTCAAGGGTATCATGTCGGTGTTATGCTGTGTGATACAGTGAGCTAATGGAAAATAATACTGTACAGCTGCTTATACCTTTTAGTGCATTTTCCTTTGTTTGCTTGATATTTACGTGGCTGTTGTGGCAAGGAAAGTATATAAATACCACCAGCTCTGAAAAAACAAGCTAACATTCAAGAGAAGGGCCATTTGCTTAGAAAAATGCCACTGTTTCTGACTCTTCAAATGTGTCCAGCTTTACACACTATATTTATGTTTTGAATACAAGATTTTTTTTTTTTTTTTCTGCTGTGTTATCAAGCACAGAAAGCCCTTGCTTTTGCTTGACTTTACAGCAAAAGCTTGCCTTACAATATGTGGATAAAAATAAACAAAGGTAAAGTCAGTGACAGGTCATTATTTTTGAGCTCCCTCCTGCAATGGAGCTGTTTGCAAAATGAGATGGTATAACGCTGAACATACCTGTTCAACAGCATCTCATAGGTTATCAAAATCTGGTGTTGTTCCCACCCTCCCCCTCCCCAAAATTTCTACACAAGGAAGCCTTTACTGACATCAGAGGGAAGGTAATTTAATTTGGCTTTGCCTCCTCCGTGGCAAAAACTACATGCATATTATGTCTCAAATTGAAAACACAGCAGTGGAGATTGTATGTTCAAGTACTTTGGAAATATTATGAGAAGATGAAAAAGAAAGGAGGGCAAGAGAGTTCCTTCTGAAGTCATGACATACAGTCTTGCCATATGTTAACAGAAGAAGTAACTGCTTGTTTCACTGCTAGTGCTGGATAGAAAGCAGATGAAGATACTTCCTCTGAGTTGGGTTAACTGTACATGTCTCATAGTACAGTGATGGGGATTGTGTAAGGAGCATCTAGGCTCGTTTGCTTACTATTGCTGCTGATTTCTTTGCCCCACACATACCAGTGATAACAAGGATCCTTCTACTGCTGCAAACTTAGGCTTGCTGATTTGAGTATTTTAACTTTAAATCCATCTGTAAAGGGTCATTTGCCCATTTCTGGTGAGATTTCCAGTCCTGTAATCATCTAGTTGGCCTGGGCAAGGGAACAATGATAGCAACCCTTCAACACAGATCTCTCCTCCTGGTTTATCGGCAGCTGTTGATGTGCACCCCTGTCCTCAGATGGAGCAGGCTGGTGGCAACTGCACAGTCCTTGCTCTAGAAAGGCACTTCCTCTCAGATGGAGGTTCTGTGACCCACTGAGCTGATTATAAAAGGATGTTCTGAGTTAATGAATTGCAGCAGGAGGAGGTGGTGAGGAGTATGTGTGAGGTTTATGCCTTGGAATTCTAGTTCTAAAAGCTGATCTGAAAGCAAAGATGGAGAGTTTTAAATGGCTTTATTTGGGGTTTGGCTATAAGCTCAATTGTTACTTCTTGGATATAATAGAAGAAAATTATTATGTGGAATCTAGGTTGTGGGAAAATATTGATGCATTCTGTTGTGCCCAGTGAAAGAATGAATGGAAGCAACACTGGTCTTGCTAGCATAATTGCTGTAATAGCACACTAATCAACCCTAATTATTCTTCTGTAATACAGGGATTCCTCGTTTCTTTCAGTGCTGCTTTCTGATAACGATAATGCTACAGCAGCAGTAACTTCTGGCTTTGTGGCAAGAGCAGCTTTATGGTGGAACGTGGCCACGCAGCTCTGCAGCCATGCTGGGGTTGAGCGTGTTGGTTTTGAGAACTATTCTACAGAGAAAGGATAGAGCTGGCATGTGCACGTGTGGTCAGCAACTTGTGTGTGACGGTGATGCTGGTGCCAAAACAGTGTAAATCAGAAAGGAGGGATTTTGAGAAGTTTTTATTGGAGTCATTTCAGAGCCGCAGCAGGACGAGAGGCTTTCAGCTGCCCGGTTCTCCGTGAGTTGGCCATGCGCGATCACAGCTGTGGTTGCTGCCTGGGAAGCTGGCTGTTTAACTTCTGCTAAGCACTGCGGCTGACACGTCTGTTGTGATTACAAACTACGCCTTTGCACGCAGGCGCTACTCGCGTTGAGTGCCATTTATTTTCTACTGACCTCCGCCTCCGGCACCAGCGGAGCCCAGCTGCTGCTCTCATGAACGGGCCGTCTGCCTCGTGCAGCTGACTTGGGGCCGGGGTAGAGCCGCTCGCTGGAGCTGGGATTCGGAACGCTCGTGGGCCAGCCGCGCAGAGCACGGGCGCCGGCTCACAACGGCTCACAACGGCACACCCGGGGCGGCCGGACGCCTCAACCGAGGCTGCCCTAGCGCTCCAGCCCGCGGAACGCGAGCTGCTCGCGGCTCGTTACGCCCGGCCGTTCCAGCTACGGGAACAGAAGCCGCGGTCGGGCTCCGCTCCCAAAATGGCAGCGCGCCGCGGTGCCCGACCGAGGCCGCACGCGCCCCGCCCCGCCGCCCAGGCCCGCCGCCGGGCCGCGCTCGGCTCCCGCCCCGCCTGGGCCGTTCCCCGCGCGCCCGAACGCCGCGGCAAAGGAGCCCGCGGCCGCGCCGCCCGGCCCGAATCGCCGCCCTCGCCTGCCGGGGAACAATAGGCGGCCGCCGGCGGCGCAGCGCGAGCACCGGCACTGCCGCAACGAGGCCCGGCCGCGGGCAGCGATACCGCTCGGAACGCGAGCCCGAAGTAGTCCCTCTTTGTTCACCAGCGGCGAAGGTTCGCTTCCACCTGTGTCCTTCCGCCGCCGCGCCGCTTCCCCCGCCCCCCGGCCGCGGAGCCGCCTGTCGGCGCAGGCGGGGCCCGCCGGGGCGGGGCCGCGGCTCTTTGTGCTCCCACAATGCACCAGCTTCTCCTCCGCGGGAAACAAAAATGGCGAGGGGCTGCGCCGGAGCCGGGCTGGCCGTGAGGCGGGTCTGACCCCTCCCCCGCCGCCCTTCCTCCGCCGCGCCGCGGGCTCCGCGCTCGGGGGGGGCTCGCCGCGCACCGAGGGCCCGGCCGCAGCGCGGCGCCGGGGGGAAGCTCCCGAGCTCGCCATTTCCCTGCATGAGGCGGTTGGCACCACTGGAGAGACCGAATGAGGTGAGGGATGGGGGGGGGCGGGGAAGGACGGACGGAAGGAAGGGAGGGAGGGGCGGCGGCGGCTGCGTGGGGGTGGGGGCGCGTCCCGCGGCTCGGGCCGCCGGTACCGCATCGCCTCTCCTCGGCCCCGCTCCGCCGCCCGTAGGGCGTGGGGTCCGCTCCGGGCCTCGGCCGAGGGCTCCCCGCGGGCGGCGGGGCCGTTCCGTCACCGACACAAAGGGAGCGGCGCTGCGACGGCCCGGGGGGCTGCGGCGGGGGGTACCGGCCCGAGCCGGCTGCGGTTCGGCCTCGGCTGCGGGTGTTGTTCGAAAAGGCGACGGCCGCTCGGGTGCGCGGGAGCGCGCGAGGCGCCGCCGGGTTCTCTCCTCGCTGGGTTCGTTGGTTCGTTTCAGCGCTTTACCTCGCGGTCTGTCAGAGCGGAGCCATTTGATCGTGTTTTGAAGCTCGCGTTTTAAGTTCGTCTCAGTACGGTGGCTGCGGCCGCCTGAAAGGATGCGCCGCAACGCGTTAGCTCTCCTTTCCTTCTGGGGTTGTAGGAGGGACGGGTTGGTGCCTCTGGTACCCGAAGGGCACGGTGTGGTGCCGCGGCGGTGCTGTGCCCGGGGCAGTGGTGCGGGGCCCGCACAACTCTGGAAGGCCCTACGCACGGCTCTCTTCTGGCTTGCAGCGGGAAGGAAGGCGATCTGCGTGTGGTGCCCAAGCTGTCAGAAACGTGAAATAAAAGGAAAGTAGCTTGCCTCGTTTTTGTTGTTTGTAATCAGGTTGCTGAAAGCAAACATTCCGGTGTTTGTTCTGAGAGCTCAAGTTACAAAAACTCGGGAGTGTTTGAGGTTAAAAGGAAGGAGGAAAAAAATGTAGTTCAGGAGTATTAGAATACAGGTTAAAATATGTATGCCTTCTTAATTTAAAGACAAAAAAGAATAAGGAGACATACAAATACAAAAAATAAAGTGTGTAGTAAAGTACTGAAAGGAGTGTCTGCAAGGAGCTATGTGGTAGTGTGATGTAGGTCTGAACTGAGGCCATTACATAGCAGTGTTTTCTGAAGTTAACTCGTGCTCAGTAGGATATGGGAAGGAACTTGTTGACGAGCTACAGAGTTGCTCCATGAGAAACTCTTAAGAGAAGTGTTTGTTGCTTCTGAAAGGTTGTCTTTTTGTGGCTGGCTACCAGTTGCTGAGAGGTGTATGTATGCATTTATATAAATGTGTACATATACATAAATACACAGCAGTTGAAGATGATGTCAAGACTTGAGTTGGATGTGTTTGTCCTTCAGTGCAGTAGGAGATGAGGTGAAATGTACAGGAAGGCAGCCATAATATGTATGTTGCAGTTCCTTTACTGTGAAGAGTGGGCGTATGAATTCTGTGGAGATAGATGCAAATGAAGATAGTACAAGAGGCACCTGAAGTTGCTTTAAGGCACGTTTTACACAACAAAATGAGGAATAAAGGAGAAAGCTCAATTGGAAGAAATAAGTGTAACTGAAAGCCAGCAGAAATCGTTACTTAGTTTGGAAATTGACGTTTACTCTCTGTGCAATTGATCTCTGAGCTTACTGCAGAATTGGTTTTGCCATCTTTACAGACCTTCTTTGAAGGAAACAGAGGGAAAGTGTGTCTTTGAGTAACGCACACCAGGAGAACTACGAAACCATGAATAGTGCTGGAGGGTCATTGGCAGAGTGATATGTGTTACTGGAAGTACCGAAACTTGTGTAATTTGTTTTAAACAATCTGCATATCAAGTTGATAGTTTCTTCCTAGAAGATAGAATCTCTTGTGAAATGAAATGAAGAGGCATCATTTGCTCTGTGATACAAAGAGCACAATAACAGTCTTTGATAGAGCAAATTTTCAGCTACAAAAGGCTGTTTTTCACTGTGGTCATCAGAAGCTGTGCATTTTCACCAGCAGTCAGCAAGAGCCTGCATGCTGCATTCGTACAAATCTGCACCAGCAGTTGCCACTGCTGAAATGCAGCACCCACTGCCTCACTACTGCCTCACTGCTGCCTCACTGGTCCCCTATCCATTGTTTGGTCCCCATAAATGGTCAGCAAGTTGTGATGAATGTCAGTGGGTTCAATTTTTTTCATGAAGCTTTTCAGCAACTCACCTTTGCTTCATATGTACTTCCATGTCAGACACCATTTTGTCAGGCTGTCCCTTTGCTGCCATCTGTTGCACAGCAACAACATGTAATGGGATATTGGTGGAAAGGTTCAACCTCTGCAGCCATACCTCCAACATTCACCTCTCATGTTGCAGACCAACATAATAAAATAGGAGGCACTACTTTTGGAATGGCCTTCATAATACTTCATTCTTTGTTTTAATTTCATGCAGTGCTCATAAAAATCATGGGTTTTTGTAAAATAAATAAATAAAACCTGTTAAGAAAGAGATTTATCTTCATGAGTTTTGATCACCTCTGATTTTTATTTTTATTTTTCCTTTCCAACACAAGTCAGTGCATTGTTTGTAATCTCAGCTGCCTGTACAGGTGCTCATCCCATGCTCTTTTAGCTGTGTTGCTGGGTGTGCTGTGTTTGGATACTGCAAAGAACCAAAAGGCAGTTGTGATCAAGGGGATGCTGCCTGAATATTTAAGGGAAGATCTCAATACGGTTGTTCTCTCCTTAATATTACCTTCTGCCTCTTTTTGTGTGTAAACACATGATCCATCCCAAAGAAAGTGCTACCCTGCCCTGTTTCCCTCCGTACTTCACTATGTAGGGAAATATGTTCTGTAATGGTCTTTTGAAGACTAATCTTTTGGCCTTGCATATCAAGTAGAATTTGAAAACTTCCAGTTGTTTCTTGATGGTGGGCTTGAGCAAATAGAACCTGAATCACAAATGATTGTATAGCTAGATAGCCACCAGGATAAGTGTGTTCTTCCCTTTTGTGGTATGAATCAATCCTGTTTCAGAGGGTCATCAGATCAGGAAGTAGAGGTCATAAGGCATCTCAAGAGGTCTTTAGTTCTAAGCAGTGCGTCTTCAACCACCACACGGGGGTGTGATCCAGTCAGCCCTTGAAAGGCTGCAGTGATGGAGGCACCCAGCACCTCAGGGCCTGTTCTACTGCCAAACTGTCCTCGTGGGAGAAAAAACACCTACCCCTCCATCTGTCAGAACATATTTATTTAGCTTCTGCCGTGCAGTATTGTGAATTGGCTTGTCCCATGCTGGTAATCCTCTCATAGGTTGCTACTAGACCTCCATAAAGCTATTTCGTGTCTGGTCTGAACAAGCCTAGTTCCCTCAGCTTCCTCTTACAGGACAGGCACTCCAGTGTTTTTCCTGCACTGGGAGACCCACCACACAATACACTATGCACTGTCTGGTGTATTCAGAGTAGAAGGCAATAATCATTTCCCTTCAGTCTTCCTGCTTGACTTCTTTCTAGCGCACAATGTATTCATGAACTTGACTGCTTATCAGCTGGATGAGTTGCTGGTTCTTAGTTCTTATTACTGCTTTAAAAAAAAGAAAAAAAAGTACTGTGTCTATCAGGTAATGTGATATACTTTTGAAAGCGTAGAACTACTAAAAAAAAAAAAAACAGAAATAACAAAAAATCCCCCCTAACAAAGCAACAAAAAAATATTCCGTGGTGAGTGTGCAGTTCTTTAAAGCATCTAACCAGACAGAAAAACTCAGGCCAAAATGCTAAGTCTCTTTCCAACGATTTAAAAAGAAAACAAACAATCCTATTCAGATAGTAATGTGTTGAATGAAAAAAACTTACTATCATGGCGGATCTATTATGATAGACCTGAATAATAGTGAGAATTTAGTGAGGTGAGAAATTTTAACTTGTTTACAAGGAGCACCTTGTATAGAAAGTGGCTACCCTGAAGTCTCTGATGGTGATTGATAAGTCTTGCTGCCCTAAACAGTATTTAACCTATCTGTGATTGGATCTGTTAAGTGTTGCTTACTTGAACAGCATTTGAACTGGCTTTTGCTGCACAAGTTTAAATGAACATGTGAACTTGACTCATACCAATCCATGGGACCAGACAGGCTCCTTACAGGAGCACTGCAATAACTGTGTAATGTTCTTGTGAGACTGCTCTTTATCATCTTAGGCTGTGGGGAACAGGGGTAATCAGTAATGACTAGAGAATGGCAAATGTTCAGTGTGTTTTCAGAACTGTCCAAAAGGTCAAGCTAGGGAAACATGGCTGGTTAGGCTCCTGTTGGCCAGTGGAGCAGGGCCCTGGGAGGAGGGTGTGTGACCGCCATCACCGCAGGCCTTCAGGTCTGGCTGGGTAAACCTGCAGCAACCTGGCCTGCTGGCTGAACTGAGCAGAACGAGGGACCTCTGACATCCTTTACAACCTGAATTATTCCATTATCTTCAACATCTGCAAAAACTGAAAGGAAAAAAAAAAATTAGAATATATATCTACTCCTTAATCTCTACTGTTTGTCTAGGTTGAGTGATGCCTATGTTAATAGATGATATGGCTTAGGTTTTTTATTGTACCAGAATATGAAATAGTATGAAGGTGGGAAGCTCAAATCTATCATATAGGTGTTCTGTGTCACTGTAAGTTTGAAGTAGCATGAAAGGATAGGCTATATCCAGACTTACATTGGATCTTCTGCTTAAAAAAAAATTAATAATGGCGGCTTTTTAATTGTGTGGTAACTGTTGAGTCATGGTCTGAACCACTGATTGAGCACTTGGGGAAAGGACCTGGTCAGCTTTGGCAGCACACAGGTGAACTGCCTTCACCTATGTGACCGGAAGGGATGGAGCCTGTCTGCACCTCTCTTAGACCTCATTTAAGGCTGACTGCCGCTGGGCAAGGATCTCTGGTTGGAGATCCCTGCACCCTTCAGAAATGGGTGAGCACTTTTCCTCTTCCTTTGTAACACTTTTCTGTTCGCACTTGTCTCTTTGTTATTACACCTCGTGTATTGTCATTCCGCCACACTGATCTTTCTGACTGTTGCGCTAATATAATAGACTGCTCCCATAT